AAAAAAGTTTAAAAAACAAGAAAAGAAAGAAAGAAAGAAAGAAAGAAAGAAAGCTTAGCATACCCCCACTGGAGTTAAGCTCAACAGATCTACGTTGAGCTTACCTAATTTATGGAAGCTTCTAAGTGAAACTTAATTCCTACTATTTCAACTACGCCGTGGGAGAACACAGCCCAGCAAAACGAAGTTTCGCTCTCTTTGCTCCTACATAGATCCCTGTAGCTATACATCCAAATAACTTTCAAGCTCGGCGATCAGAGAAACCTCTCTCAAGTTCTTATACATCATTCTTGCCTTCCAAAGACTGCAACCTGAAACCATCGAATAAGAATCGTGGGGACGTGCTGCTTTGAGCGAGCAGAATCTGAAGTAGAGCACATAAAAATCGAGCATTGACGGGAAGGGTGACAAGCTCATGACAGCACGTAGCAGAAAGTACAAAAAAAGAGGCAAACAGAGAGGTGCAGAGACTTCAAAACCCTCCCCCTTCACCACCACCTGATGTCTATGCGATTGAGGAAAATCCTTCCCACATGCCTGAATCATTCCTCGCTACTACTGGCTGCTGCCTTATGCTGGAAATATTGACAGCTTTTTAATCACAACATAAATTTCATCGCTCAAGAGTATAGACGGCTGAATTCAGAATCATATACTCCGTACATACTCCGTCCGTCGGCATCAATGGAGAGCAGGCTGTCTCAATGCAGATACGAGGATGACCCTGACATGTTTTAAACTAACTGACGCAGTCTGACGGGCAAGCTGGCTATTTTTGGAGCATACGGTGGATCTAGAGGCTCAAGCAGCAGAAAGTGCACGCACGTAATGTGAGCTACACCAGTCTGCCCACCAGCAGGTAGCAGTCGCAACCTGTTACATATGGAGAGAGCGTGCAGCCTCCCATGACGGTCTCGTCAGTGAAGCTGTGCATCCTACTCCACGTGATACGCGGCGTATCTGGCCAGCATGCGGCACGCAGCACATCATGGCTGGCATGGATTGCCCATGGGTGACGATGGCATAAACCTTTCTCAGTGATTGTGACACACGACAACTGCAGAAGGAAATAGGTGCACATATTCCTTCAGGCAGACAGCTGTTCTTAGTATCAGAGTGATGAGAGATGATAAGATACTGTATAACGCATCCCAACGGCAAACAAACAAAGGGACTTGACCCGCTGTCCAGTGCCGTTCCCTACACGAGGGTGTACAATTATTCTTCAGTGAAACCTCACTTTCAGCGCTATGTAAAACTGGCAGCCCAGCAGTGGTCTTCTGTCTCTACACCTCTACCGCTTTCCTAAACGTCACCCCCCCCCGGACCAGACGGACCCGGACCGGACCGGACGGGGCCGTTTTTTTGGGGGGGGGGGGGGGGGGGGGGGGGCGTAACTGGTCGTCGGGCGCACATTCGTGCGCCGCACGGGTCCGGTCCGGCGGTCTGCCACACGTGCGGAACCGCCCGGACGGCGTCCGCTTGCAAGTATGATATTGCACCATCCATTACAACGGCAGAGACCACAGCCATAGACTACTTTCCACTTCAGGACCAGGGAGGGACGCATTTGTGACTGTCACAGCGGATCACTTGCACCGATCATCAGCTTACTTCCTTTTTGGCAGGAGTGGGGCCAGGTGTCCCGACTGCCAAAACATGTTTGGGAGGGGGGAACAGGCACCGAGAGTGTGTAGCACAAGGGAAAGGGACATCAAACTGTGGCATGGTTATGGTTATGGGCCGAGTCAGAAGTTAGGTGATAACAATAAGTAGACAAACAAGCTGGTAGCTTGCAGCAGTTCGTTGCAGTAGCAGTCCCAGAACAGGGACAGTAGAAAATACAGGTAGGCGTGGGCCAACTAAGAAAGGCGGTTCTCACTCATCGCGGTGAGATGCCGACAGGCTAGTTTGCAGGAGTTGCTTCATGGAGATACCACGGGCAATGTCAGAAGCAGTTGGCTTCCTCTTTATCACAGAAGTGCAATGGATGTCGCAGGTCCAAAGCGAGCATGAGCAGAAGGCCACCAGCAGCAGGCACGTAAAAAGAAGGGATATCGGTGGGACAGTGTGGTGGTGCGACATGGTGTGGAACGGCAGAAATTGCCAGAAGGACTTAAACCGCCAGTACGTGGCCCCAGCCTTGCTGGGGGAAAAAACTCGTAGCCTACGGAAAATTTGGAGGCTTGGCCTACCAGACCACGATGGCTGGAGGCGCCAGCCAAAAAAAGGAAAAAAGTGCGCCACTAGCGGTTTGGAAAACCTTGGCACGCAGCAAGGGGCCTGCAGGTGCGGGTGTACTGGTGATTTAAAACAAGCTGCGCTTGCCAACTTCAGCAAAAGTGGATTGAAGTTCAAAAGTGCACCTGGGATGAAGCGGAGGGGCTCAATCAGGCGCAAAGTGGACAAATGATACGGATGAACGGAGCAAGAATGGAGGGAGACCTGAGGTCGGTGGTGAAATGGTACACACAAGTTTCGAGTTCACCTACGCCAAACGAGCGGTTTCCTGCCACCATCCGTCCTTGTGACACATCACTGAACACATGGACTCCTACATGAACAGGAACTCCACATCTCAGTCCACGCCGCCAAGACGTAAACTGATTGCTAACACATGGACTCCTCCATGAAGATGAATTCCCATCCATCATACGACTCCGCATCTCAGTCCACGCCGGCAAGACGTAAACGAATTGCTAACACATGGACTCCTCCATGAAGATGAACTCCCATCCATCAGACGACTCCGCATCTCAGTCCACGCCGGCAAGACGTAAACGAATTGGTGACACACGGACTCCTACATGAACAGAAACTCCAATCACACAACTCCCGCATCTCGGTCCACGCCGGCAAGAGGTAGACTAATTGGTTAGTAGACTTTAGTAGACTAAGTAAAGGGAACTCTTCTGAGACAAAAGCGTAAGTCAGAATCGAATGGCTGCTGTCTCCAGGTCCCATCCACCCGAGGCTTGCTCAAAGCACAGGGGGATTATTTCAACGAGTCTGAGAGAAGCTGCCTTGTGTATACAAACTGCCGCAACAAACATTAAACGTAATTTATTAGTCAACGTTGCTGCACACCAATGGCTACCCAAATCCAATGCTTTACCATACACGAGGTGGGAGGCCAATGGTTGCATGGCCTTCCCGTCCCCTTTGCTTCTGCCCACGTCCCTGGCCCCTGCACACGTTTTTCCCAGCACGTGCCTCTGTTTTTTGGTTGTTCCTTCTCTCTCCCAGTATTGGAAACGCCCACGACGATCCATTTCCAGTCCCCTCCTGCACCATTTAACCTGCACTTTTTTCTAGCCTACATTTTCTATTCTGCATTTTATACCCATTTCTCTGTTTCCTTCTCCGTCTTCTCTCCCCACCTCTCCGTTCATCTCTGTACGCAAGCAACGTATGCCAGCTACACCGCGGAGTTAACAGTGCTAGCAGCAATAGAGTGGGTATAGCAGAACGGAAACCACTCTCCGGTGGGTGCTAGCGTTCAATATGGCTATCGGATTCCCCGGGGCCCATGAGGTGCACGTTATGTTCTGTTGCAAAGCGTCTAGCAAGCATAATGGCCCCATTCCTCTCCCTCTCACTCTCAAGAGCCAGCACATATTGCTTCGCCCTTGTCTGTAGGAAAAGCGCTTGTGCGGCAGCTTCACCACCACCTCTTGCTCCACACAGCCACATCTCGTGATTATAGGTTCCCCGTGCTTTCACAACCCTACCCCTCCTCAGCTTGACCCGCGCACGGGAGATCTCAAGCACATGAGGAGCTCTTCTCTCGACATACTCCCCATTATACTGAATTACGACAACGTTGAACGGGGCGTTCCCATAACTTTGCAAAAGGTTGACGAAATCTTCCAGCCCAGGAGATGCCTCGAGAGGCCCGGACGACTCCACTATCTCCAAAATCCCTGCATGCCTGATAGTAACTCGCAGGCAACAGCCCACATCAAGCGGCTCAGGTGCATACTGAGCCCGTATTGCCCCCGTGATGGGATCGGACTCCCCATCTTCATGTATACGGTACCACTGAAGTTCACAAGATGAAGGTGTTGGAACGTCATACGACGTAGCCATCACGTACAATGTGCTGCCTAAGAGCTCAAGACCCTCCAGCTTATATGGAGGCTCTTTCTTATTTGGGAATTTGAACGCCTCAAGTTCATGCCTCAGAGACATGACTTCCTGCGACTTGTCCACTAGTACCCTTTGCAGCCCCTGGATCTGCATTTCCATCTCGGACGCTTTGGTTGGTTGATGTAGCATCTTAATCCTCCTTGCCTCTATTACCTCCCTCTTCAAGTCCTCCATCTTTTGCTCCCTTTCGTCCTCACGGGCCTCTGCCGACACTATCCTCCGTGCAATCTCCTCCGCTCGTCGCACCTTCTCCCTGGCAATCATGATCTCTTCCTGCGCCATTGTCCGTGCCTCCTCCACCATCCTTCTTGCATCCTCGTTCGCTTGCTTGAACAATGCAGCCATCTTCCTTACTTCCAGCCGTTCCTGCTTTGTATCATTCTCTCGTAGTGCCCATTGCGCTCCCAATGCCTCCATGGACGCCAGAGCCTCATCGATGTCTTCTTTGTAGCGAATCCCACTGGAGAGTTGCAGCCCAAGGAGCCGTTGCTTCACCACAGATATCAAACTCATGCCAAGTTGATTACCATCTGTCACTGAAGGGACAGGCTCCTCATTGATCTTTGCAGCAGCAGTGGATGCAGCAGATAGTCCCCTCTCAAACTTGTGCGTAAGATCACAAACAGAAAGCCTCTTATGCTGTTCAGCAAGTGCGGCATCCTCTCTCAATATTAACTCATTCTTTGTTGGTTGCAACCCCTCTTCATCGCTACTCTGATCCATCATCCCGCTGTTGCTCAGTTTAAAGCTCGAAAAGCAGCTGTCAGTTGAGAAGGACACATCAGCACTCACTGCCCGTAAAGGTGTGGCTGGGGGAATAGCCATGCCTGCATTCAACACCATGACCTGAAGATCCAGAACATCTACACACAAGCACCAAAATTGTCACTGATCCTTCACCCTTCCTTGGAAAAAGCCTAACGTCAAAAGACTAAACTGTAAACAGAGATGTTGTGCAACCACAGACAGAGAAGTCACAGTTTGCATGATGTTCACCCCCGTTGTTCCCAGATACAACACTATGTCGAGCTATTTCGCAAAGTCGAGCTATTTCGCAAAGACGGCAGGGAAGGACAACTCTCATAACGTGCAGAAAACCATCACCATCACCATCATCTGAGTCATTGCTGGAACAAGTCAACGAAAATTCAGAAAACATCATACATCAGATAAACATGACAGAAAAGGCCAGAAAAAAGAAAGGAAGAGCAGATTGTACAGAGCAGCGGCCAGTGTCAACCCATAACTTTCAGGGCCACCCGACTTGTGTGCTTAGATAGGCTTCAACGAAACAATACAACGGGGCTATGAGTAGATAGGGGTAGGTAGCAATTCTGAGAAAGCCACAGCATTGGGAGCAATTGTGAGAAAGCCACAATATTGCGAGAAGGAAAAAGGGTAGTTAAATACAGCTTGTCCCCCAATTGGGGGAACAAGTCAAGGCAATTCAAGATTCAGCAGAAGGGGCAAAAAGAGAGGAAAACTAAGGAAAACTAAGTTATAAATACCCGAGATAACCACAACTGAGGGCAAAAAGAAAGGACTCTCTCCTCCTCACCACCGTTGCTCCTCCTCCAGGCTAACCTTCTTCCTCCGCCTCCAAATACCTCACCCGCCTCCTCCTCTCTCCACTGCCCCCTGCACATTCAGCAGAACACCTAAACCATTGCAAAATCTCTCTCTCTCTCTCTCTCTCTCTCTCTCTCTCTCTCTCTCTCTCTCTCTCTCTCTCTCTCTCTCTCTCTCTCTTTTTCTTCGCACGTTTTGTCTGATATTTGCATGTGTGTGTGTGTGTCTCTGTGTGTGTGTGTGTGTGTGTGTGTGTGTGTGTGTGTGTGTGTGTGTGTGTGTGTGTGTGTGTGTGCGTGTTACATTTTCCCCATAACAGCGGACAACTAGAGCATTTGAGATGAGACAGTCACTGTGGCATATTGATACCACACGGGCCCCAGTTAGGGCCCGGTTCCGTAGCAGGCACGGTTCAGGCCTAGTTACCGGGTCATGACGGGCCCAGTTTAGGTCCAGGTAGGCCTAGGAGCCGTCGGTTCAGTTTAGGGTCCGGTAGGCCTCGTTTAGACCCCACCAGACCCATCGGCTAGTTCGTTTAGGCCAGGTACCGGTTCATCGGTAGGCGCAGCCGGCGGCGCAGTTTTGGCGCCCACATTTTCAGATTCCGAAATCGGATCTGAACCGTTGGGCCTGATCAACGGTCCAGACCCGAAGGACCTCAGTAGGACTGAGGCCGACCCAGCACTATATCAGCTGGGTACCAGCCTCAGTCGGTCGGTTAGAGTGGAAAGAAGGTTAGTCTTCAGGATTAGCGCAGCATTCGGCGTTAGTAGAATTAGTG